CCAACAGTGGGGTACAACCGCATGTCCTGCAATGCAAGTCAAGAAAGCCACCGTTCTTTTTTTGCACGTTGTTATTGTGCTCACGAAGCCGATCATTTAGGCAGCGCCCCGTCTGCCCGACGTAGTGCCTGCCACAGGACAACGGAATGCGATAAACCACACCATCTGTACAGTCGACAAATTTGGTTCTGTGCTTCTTTTCACATCCGTGTTTGGCACGCACGCCAGGCTTTGATAGTTTGCTCAGGTCCATGAGCTTATTGGGCGCAGAAAACCCTACCTTTACATTTAATTGCATTGCTACTTTCTTTAAATTGTGGGACATATGGTCTCACAACAACTTTTTCTTTTTGTCTTGCTAGCTGGCTCGAAATTGTTTTTCACGAGACAGCGCTTTCTTAGAAGGCCCTCCGCGACCGCAACAAGAATGTGTTTAGGGTACCCAGCTGCGAGCAAGCGCAAAACTTGCTGATGAAAACCACTGGGGATCGAATGCTCACAGGACATTTTTAGTGCATTGGTGAAACACAGGTTAACAATACTCGTTTTGACTAGCTTGGAGTGGGCTGAATCAAACAAAAGTAACGGCTTATTCGCAAATGGCTCATAAAACCAACAGATGTGGTCGTCGAGAAACAAAAATCTGATGTCAAGGAATCGAATAGTGCTGTCCACAGGTATCATGCGTGACCTCGAGTGTGCCAAAACATTTCTTAAAAGTGGTCAGGGTTTTGGCAGTCTCTGCTTCAAAAGCGTTCGTGTCAGATGCGATGAAAACTAAAAAATCATATACGTACCTAAAAACTTTTTTTACTTTTCATTCCTGAAACCGGCTATTAAGAGTACTGTCAAGTTGTGCTAAAAGTTCATCTACGTACCTAAAACAAAAGTAGTGTTTTCATCGCCCAATAAGCTCGTGGACTTGTGCAAACTATCAAAGCCTCGCGTGCGGGCCAGACACGGTTGTGAAAAGAAGCACAGAACCAAATTTGTCGACTGTACAAATGATGTGGTTTATCGCATTCCGTTGTCCTGCGGCAGGCACTACGTCGGGCAGACGGTACGCTGCCTAAATGATCGGCTTCGCGAGCGCAATAACAACGTGCAAAAGAAGAACGGTGGCTCTCTTGACTTGCATTACAGGACATGTGGTTGTACCCCACTGTTGGATGGATGCGTAAAAATTGGGAAATGCAAGTCAGCGTTAACACGCGAAATCGTAGAAGCCAAACACATTGATTACTTAGGAGACACGTGTGTTGCCATGCCGTCGATTGCGGTATCGGAGAAGGAATTGTGTTTCCTGAGAACGAGATAGTGTTGTTTCCCAGTTATGCTCTGTGATGGTGGTTTTCTTTTGCTTTTGTCGTTTTGTTGTCATTGTGACGATGGTTGAGACTATAAATATCGGAACACGTATTCAATAAAATTCAGTTAAGTTTCGCCTTGTCGTGGTCCTGTTCTCTTCTTTTGTCCTCGTCCTTGCTGCGCACAAGATTGTATAAGCTGTGGTTGGTCTTGCGCGATTAGCCAAACGCTCACTGTGACGTCATTAGTGGGATCATTTCTGCTCTCATCGGCGGAAATGAGAGGAAAGTCAGACTCTCAGCTCTGACTTTGTTGATTTAGGAAAAAAACGACTGGGCTTTTACCGTGATTTCTACACACCATCGAACTCGATTTTAATAATATTGACCTTGACGTCAGGGATAAAAGCCACAAGAGGCCGCCAAGACAAAATCTCGTCGCCAATAGCTGGCGGTCCCCGTTGAGCATCGCGGCAACCCACAAACAAAGGGTAGAAATCGGGACTTGTATTTGCGCTGGGGTCTCTAACCCTGTCCACGTCCTCCGTCCTGAGCTCCTGCGCGGCGAGGTAAGAAGACTGTCACAGTTTATCTTAACAAGAAGTTAAGTTGGGCTAGTTGGTGCATTATGAAAACTTGGAAACAGCGCGAAATAAACGAAGGCAAAGAACGAGAAGTGAAAGAACACGACGCTGACTGACAACTGAAGTTTATTCCTGCGAGAAACAGGAAGGAAAACATAAAAGGTGCAACAAAGATCAAACATAATCCACCCCCTTGAGGCACGCCCCAATGCTTCAACAAATGTGCCGAATTTCTTAATAAAAGACACTTCGTCATTTTCCTAAGCCACGGACGGGGCACTAACATACGTTTCCTCTCCGTAGTTCTTAACAATTGTATAAAAAGAACAAAGATCTCCAGGAAGCTTCAGAACGACATCAGACGTTTCTCAAAAGACATATCGCATTTCTTGGTTTAAAACTCCTAGCTACGGGAGCCAACTAATCAGCTTCTGAATTGATCAGTTACCGCTCGTGGTATTCTCAGTGTGGCGCATCCGTAGTGAGGACCGACCGGCATTCTTACCCAGCCTCAACACGTACGCAGCGTGACAACGCGCCTTCGGACCTTTTTTGCAGTTGACTCCTACGAGGTAGTGACAAACGCCAAACGTTGCACCTTAAGCAGTCGCTACGAATAGTCAGATTCAACTACTATAGTACTTTGGGTACTAGCATTTTAAATGTGAAAGAAAAATAAAGGCTCCCTCGGTGCTATCTGCTTACCAGTTTACCGCTCTGAACGTTTCACCTAGCTGTTTCTGGGGAACAGAGGATATAGTGCGTGAACCAACATCACTTCAGTGATGACTATAACTATTGCCTTGGTCTTGCCCTTAAGCGCGTGTCTTCTGCAGCACATAATCCTTACCACCGCTTTTTTTTCTCGACTAGAACAAGTAGAAATTATTGCCATCCCAGTGTGTTGCCGTGAAGTACAAAACATCTATAATCAGATGTCTTCAGCTACAAACTACTACAGGCGAAGTCGCAGCGCCACCCAGAGGGCTGTACTTTTTCTATTGCTCTATATCTAAAAAAAAATGATGGTTTCCCTTAACAGTTAAAGCCAACCCGCGTCCAGCATTGTTCGGTCTGTGTTGTCAAATGACGCGACCCGCCGGAGTAGCTAAATGCCTCCTTTAGTAAAGTTTCGATCACAGCCTAGGATGACATCGAGGCGGAGAAATACGCTTTCCACTGGATTCTAAAAAGAAAGTTGAATCAAACATTATTGTGTCAATCAACGAAGGCACCAGTATCTCGTGGCGCGGCGAGGAACCACAAGATATGAAGAGTGTCATCAACTTTTAACGATACCAGAAAAAAAAAACAAAAAAAAAAAACGAGGTAGCGTTTATAAAGATCAGTTTCTAGAGTAGAAACGCTTAGTTTCTATAGTCCGTTGCAACTCAAGAAGGTACGCCGAGGGGAAGGAAGGCCGCGGAGGAGGAAGCAGACAGGACGCTAAAGAGAGGAAGAGGTATGCTTGGGAGAAGAGCGTGTTGGTTTGGGTCATGGATGAAGAAAGAGTAAAACAATTAAAACAGAGATGAAAGATGTGGTTGTGTTGTCCCTGTTTTAATTGTTGTATTCTTTCTTCATCCAAGAGGAAGAGGGTCCCCCCTCTCTTCTCCAGCATTCCGCCAGCTTCCTCCTCCCCGGCCTTGCATTCCCTTCGCCCTACCTTCTTGAGTTGCAACGACTATAGTACAAATTAAACGATAATCGGTTATAGCGATTCAATTTTCGTGTTTTCTTATTATCGTTGTAAATGGATTGCACTGTGGAAAACTACAACCGCCCCCCCCCCCCTTTCTCCTTAAAAATTCAAGAAAACAAAATAGTTTTTTTTTGTCTGAACTAAAAGTGGAAAAAACGAACACAGAATTTCCGGACCTGTCTTTCTTTTCAAAACATTCAAAATGTAAGGCATTAACAATCTTTCCGATTGTTTTAACGTATATATAAATGCATGTAGACTAGAGGATAAAGTACGTGCGACAAAACGCTCATGAGGGGTTTACAAATGCGGACCTCTTCTTGAGTGTCCGTGCAAGTTTCCAATGCATTTTGTGTGCTGAGAGAAACCTAGGTCTGCCTGGGTCCCTTTGAAATGTATCGCTTGTCTGATATTTGTGGTAGCTCCTACTTTGAAATTGTAGCATTTGATGATTTTGCTGGTGCTAACGGTTGAGGAAGATTTTTATACCCCTATTAGTGACCAGTTTATTGTGTTTTAAGACTAGTACAACGTAAGTTCTCGCTGGGTGTAAAAAGTTCACTGTTACAAATTTCATCCTGAAAATAACTCCAAAGTGCGTGTTCGCAAACACATCATCTTTCGCTGTGTACAAAAAAAAACAAAACAAAAAAAAACGAAGAAACTGGTCGGAGTCTAGACATTTGCACATGCCACTACTGAACAAGCTAATCACCGAGCGTGCAGAAATACCTATTTCAATTGAGCTAGTTATCACACGGTCATTGATTAGTCAGCTCTGTGTATGTCTTGTCCTGCCCCTGTGTGATTGTTTAGTGTTCAAGCTCTTTCCCCGTCATGAGTGTAGAGAAATACACCTCTTTGTGCAATGGAACTTAAATATACTAATATTTTAGTCACTGCTCAATTCAAATTATTCACTATAATATGCACAGCGTTTTAGTTGTCTGTTCAGTTAATACAATTGCTTAATTGTTCCGCCAGTTTTATTACTATAATACACATTGAAAATAGCCTTCTTATTTCCCTGCTATGAATATGTAATTTCTCCTAAAGTTTCAGTATTTCTGAAATAAAAAGGGGAAAAAGTACTTTCTTTTTAGGCCATCCAAGATTTTCGGAAGTTTTACGTCTCCATGGGGGCACTACTGTATTGGCATTCATTTACTGAAGCATGTCTGAACCTGGTGTGGGCACTGCGCAAGCGCAGAAATCAGATTTACCCGAAGTGAAGCGACTGCGCATGCGCCGCCCGCGCCGACAGCGGTGCAACATCAGATCCGCGCGTTGGTGTGTATGTCGCGCCATCTATTGGAAGACTCGGCCTGTAAACGGGACGTCCGCACCCGACTCAAGCTGGGTAAAAGAAGCCTAATAAAATTTATTGCTCGCTTTTCCCATTTGCAGATCGGCGACGTACACCAGGAGGTGAACAAAATCTCCAAGCGCCAGGAGCACTTGGTCGTTTGCATGGGGGCAACACTGATCCTCCTCGTTGGCAACCTGGTTGTTTTGTTTCTCGTCAAGAGCTGCCAATCCGCCAGGGAGTGGTACTGCTGAAAAAAAAATAATAGCAAAAACGTACCAACTCGGCGAAACAGCTCAAGCATACAGATCAAATTAAATCAGCACCGCGGAGAAAAAGACAACTGTAGTTTAATATATGCCTTGTACTCATATGTGTGCAGAGAAGTAAAGACCAGTGTATTGCAGACGGGCGTTCCTAGTCCTCGTTCGCCGTTCGGAACAATAAACTTGTTGTGATTATTTTGTCAGCATTTTTTGAGGGCGTCAGCTGACGTCTTTGGTGACGTGAAAAGACTGTGACGCTGGCCGTGGAAGCGGCTGTGCTTCGTAATGTTCGAAAAAAAAAAAAAAAAAGTTTTTGCGCATGCATGCCGGCTGAACGCTGGCTTCTATTTAATGGAGAGGGTGGAGAAACAGAAAAAGAGAAAAATAATAAGAATAGAAGTGTATATAGGTTGAGTTTGGTCAAATATTGTATCCGAAATAATTACGGCTCCTGGCGGGGGAAGCGGGGGGGGGGGGGGGGGGGGGGGCAGTTTTGTAAGTTGCTCTTTTTGAGACAAAAATAACTTGAAACCCTTAAAAACCCAAATGCAATCAAGCAAGAATCGAAGCAACGAAGTATAAATAGAAGCCCAAGACAACTGCAAAGGAAAGAAAACAAAGCAAGGAGCAAGAGGGGCAATTTTTATATAATTTAATAACCGCTGACCAGGCCTCTTCTGTTGCTAACGTCTGACTAGATATATGTCTTCTCTTCTAATTGGCATTGAAAGAAAATTAAGCTGTTTTAGTGCGTACACTCTTCATATTCATTTATTCTAAACTGGCTTTAAGTCAGCAGTGCTAACGCAGGAGCAGACAGGGGTAACTTTATTTCATTTTTTTATCGGTTTCTTAACCAGCCCAAGTTAAAACCTGTATGGCTGGTTGGTTGGGACAAAAAAGAGGCGGTCGGCGTACGACTGCGAACCATCAGCCGAGTCTGTAGTTGTCGGAGGTTGCATTTTTCTTAGCGGTAAAGGGTGATGCGCAGTCTCTTATCCTGCTGCCCATTCTTTTCTGTTTCCATGTAGCAGATGCTGGAATGCGCGAAGGTTGAGCGGCTCTGAAGATCTTGACTGTTGGCGTGTTTTAATTTGAGTTAGCTTCTGGCTGGGTCCAAGTCACAGTGACATCGTTTTATATTAAAAACTATAGCATCCTTCTATGTGTATTTATTTCAACAAAAAAGGCAAACGTGCGAAGTTCTTGTACGGACAAAATAAATATAACAAAAATATGACGCCTTCCTTGTACAGCACGAGGTGTTTCAACTCTAAAATGTATTATGCCTACCTTAAGTTCTTGAAATTTCACACGGTAAAGCTGACCTGCTCGGCGCAAGCTCGGTGAAAGTTCGAGCTGTTTATATAATGGCTACGATTTTTCCGCCTCGTTGTATAACTGAAGTTCCGCCTGTGCCACCCCATACTTTTATTTTTACGGCGTACGCTTCGACTGACCTCATCTTTTCTTTTTTTTTTCTTTTTTTTTTTTTGCGGTGTGCATGCGTTTTTTAAACAATTTTACTTTAGCCAAAATGGTAGTATTTTTTCCTTTGCCTGCCGAGACAGGATGACTCACGTTTCTTTGTACTCAGCCAAAATCAAGCAATACGGGAACCAGATCTGAGGAAGGCAGATTATTGCGGAAAAATGTAAGACTCTGGCGTTTCCATTGTTAGCGCTCCGAGAAAAAACATCAATTTGTGGTCGCTCTCCAATTTTGTGCGCAGGTTTCGTTCACTATTAAGTGCGAGATTTCTGGGCAAACGGCGGATGTCGGCATATTTTCAGTATTGAGGCTCAATTTTCCAGTCCGAAATTGTGGCGTGCGTTTGGGTTGGCTGTGGTTACACACGAAGAAAGTATCGCTACGGTTTTCCGCACGTTCGATATTGCATGCTTCGTCGAGCCATCCTGTATTCGTTTAAAACTTGCGACGTAAGCGTTTCTTTCGTTTTGTTCCGGGCGCGTAGACTTAACAAGCGCTCGCCTGAAACCATTTTTTTATGAAATCCCGAAAGTTTTTTATGTGGTGAAGGTAGGGTCGGAAAAGTTTTAGGATCTCCATTTGTTTGTCCGATTCGGTACGCGAGAATAATAAATTTATTAAAAAATGGCGCCATGGTTTTGTGCAATATCTTGGAGTTTGTTATTCGACAGTATTTCGTTAACAATATACCTGTTATACAGGGTGGATTCTCTTTATTATATACATATTTTTTATTAAAAAAACTTTAAACCTATAGCATTGCGGTATGTGCAGATGAGTTATACGGCCAGCCGGTCACTGCGTTATGAAGATAATGTGTCTAAAAATGAGCAATTAACTAAAATTTACTAATTAACTTTTTGGATAGAGGATTCTGTGCACATGTTGATATATGCGAAATTAGGGGGAGTCAATGTCGAAGGCAATCCCAGTTCTTTCAAATCCTGGATTGAGTATGGGGTTCCAGCTATCCGGCGCTAATTTTTACTCTAGAAACTCTCTGAAACCAAGTACACACGCTCGATGCGCGCCGGAAGGACAACCCGCGTTTCATAACCCGAGGTCCACTTGGTTATGACCGCATTTGTGTCACTTTCTTTTTTTTTTTTTAACAGCGGGACAGAGCTGGCGGTAGGTGCATTAAGACGGCAATTTGGGCCAGTTGGTTCATGATCGAAGATAGGCGCCGAAAAAAAACAAGGACAAGAAGAGACGTAAACACTGGCGGTAGGTGCTCCGCGGCTGGCCAGACAAGGCGACAAACCAACTTAGCGACCATGACAGGTTGCTTACCAATGCGTTATCGGTCACCAACGTGTTGATCGATGAGTGCCAAGCAGTATAATGGAAAACTAAAATCTTGGTTGTGTGTTCGCAGCAACGGTTTACAGCGCAGAACATGACGGCCATTATCCATAATAAAAGATTTGCGCGTAGAAGAGCAAACCAAGGCGTAAGAGGTGAACTCTTTGCCGTACTGCTGTTTCGCTTAGTGCTCGGAGGTACTCTACGACGAAGAAATGAAATTATTGCTCCTCGCAGCAAAGGTGTTCCCAAAATGCGTCACCGAAACGTCAGCGGAGGATGGCAAGGGCAGCTTGACACACCTTCATGTCGTCCACTGCGTGAAGCGGTGGCGTGTTACTTTGGTAACCCGAAGTGAAATAGGTTTTTGGTCATGTTCTTTTCTCATTCTCGCCTAATAGTTATCGTACAAATGCAATAAATGATGTTGTGTGACCAGCGTTTCTTTTTATTCTATTGCTTATGATAAAATATATTTGTACAAAACAGACCGTTTTTAATACGTATGTTAGGCTTCGTCGGCCTCTTCTGCTGTGACCACTGTGGTGAAACTATGATTTAGATAGGTTTGCTGATTCCTGATGGATATCGACGGCAACAAACAAAATAACTTTTGTACAAATTATTCTCAGGCTAGGTCTGGTTTATGTTTTCAGACATTAAATCATTGCGTACAGCAGAAAAAAAAAAAAAAAAAAAAACTTAAAAACAACCCGTCTGTCTGAAAGGTAAACATAAATTATGCTCTCGAAATGCCTTTCTTCTGCCGCATTGCTTTATATAAAATGCTCTTGCATTGAAGCCACGGGACGGTGGGCCATAGGACTATTGCTTGCACAGGCGTTGACGATCCTTTGCTTTAGGTCCGTAATGTCCCGAGGTTCCGTTAACAAGAGCTTTAATACGGCCCGGAAGAAAGAAGGCAAGAGGTGTCAGATTTGGTGACCTTGGAGGCCTGAACATCGGTTCTTTACGTGCAATCCACCTATCTGTAAAGTTGTGGTCGAGCCACCTTTTAACGTGGGACGAAAAACGCGGTGGTGCTCCATCGTGCTGAAACCGCGTTCGCAAAAAATACTGTAAAGGCAGGTCTCAGGCAAAATCGTCAACGATTCCACTAAAAATACCCTCCGTATAATTTCTCCCAGTAAGATTCCCTTCAAAAACGTAGGGTCCTGTAATTGTGTTGCTGAGAATTCTGCGCCAGACGTTGATGAACCAGCGGACTTGATGTTTATCTTGTCTGAACCAATTGTGGTTTTGGTTTGAGGAGTATTGTGCGTTGTGTAGGTTAACATTACCGTCGCGGCCAAAATTCGCTTCATCCGTCCAAATATTTTTATGCCAACGGTCCTTGTATGACTCTTTCTTAATAAGGGCCCAGTTGCAAAATTCTAATCGCTTTTGGAAGTCCACATCAGTGAGGTCCTGGGGAAGGTTAACATGGTATGGGTAGGGGCTATGCCTCCGTAGCACATTTCAAATGGAAGTAGCACTGACAAGCAATCTCTCGGGCGCTGGCGTCAGGGTTCACTGTCACGTAGGCGAGGATGCCGATTTCAATATCTTCATTTATAGTGGCTCCCTTCGGATGTATTCTGCGAAGTACGGAACCCGTCTTCCGAAACTGCAAAAAAGTTTCGGAATCGTGGTATGGCTGGAAACTTGACGGCCCGGGGGACGAGAAGTGTACAGCCGTTTGGCCAGTCGGGCATTGACGTTCATTTCAACATAGTCCAAGACCATGTCAATGTTTTGGGTGATAAAGTACCTTCGGTTCAATTCGGAACCCATCGAAGCACCGTGCAGTACGCTTAATTGAGGACTGATGAGAACATCCGTGAGTCATACGCTAGAAACAGCTTAAGTTTACAGCGTGTAATCCAAGAAACCGTAACAATGAGAGGTCTGAAACATGTCTTTTATGATATGCTTGTCGCTTAAACAAATTAACTATTCACACAAACAGTTCCAATGCGTCCTGTTTAGTATAATTTTTTCACTTTTAAATTCGCTTAGAATATGGGCGTCGCTGATAGCCCGCTAAAAATAAAACTTATCAAGGTCACTAAGTTTGTTTATTGACTTATCTGGCCAGCCGCCGAACCTCGGGACATTACGAACCTAAAGCAAAGGATCGTCAGTGCCTACTGCAATCGGCTCTACTACGCTGTGACAAAAAAAAAAAGAAAAAAAAGTGAGCTGAATATTATGATAACCACCTGGGTCTCGGGTAATGAACGGGGTTTTCCTTCCGGCGCACTTCGAGCGTTTAGTTTCGGTTTCAGAGTTTCTGGAGTCAACATTTGGCGATGAATAGCTCGAACACTCCGTGCTCGATCCCGGATCTCTAAGAACTGGGCTAGCTTTCGACATTGACTGCCTCCGATTTCGTAATAAAAC